TGATTTTAAGAAATCTATTTTTTAAACTCTTATATATGCAGAACTACCAGCTTTCAGCCAAGTTTTTCTGGACAACATATACGTGAATAAAGCTCATTTAACCTGAAGCAATTTCTAGTTAGGGCAGATCTCAATATGTGATGTTTGATGTACTCAATTTTTAGGATAAAGGCTATTCTGTGTTTTGGGGAAAGCTAGTGAATTTTTCCAAAGAGCCTGGATGCAATCTAAGTTAGTGACCCTTTTTGTGGCTAAATACCTTTTTTATGGATTATCATAATGCTAGCAGAAATTACTCTTTTATGGCAAGAGACCAAACACAGGAATTTCCCCCCAAGTAGGATAGTCCAACAAAATAGCTCTCACCCAAACTTTCCCCAGCCAACACTATAAATAATAATTATTTGATAATTATAATCTCTAAGAGAGCTTATCCTGCATCAATAATTATGGTTATCTCATAGAAACCTGAGACATCAGTGTCTATAGTTCTGCTGTGAATATATTAATTGTCTATGACAAAATCATTACGTCATAATATCTAAGTCTGCATCAGGAGTTATGAAAATGTGTTTTGCCTTTTTAAAGTATCTATTTCCATTAGTGCAGCTTGGGGGTAAGTGAAGATAAACAGGATATACTGAATGGAGATAAGGCTAAATTTGGTTTTTCATTCCCTTTAAGGAATTCAGTTTGAAGTGTAAACACTGCTGTTTTCATTTCAAATTCTCATGTATTCTGAACATCTAGGGGCTTCATTTGCCTTTATTTTTTCTCATGAGATTTCACAAAACAAAAAAAAAATGAGGATTATGTTTTCAGTAGTGTTTTAAATGCAATAGTGAATAGATTACCGTGAAAACTTGCATAATTTTTTCTCTTTCATCAGCCATCATTGGCCTTCAAATTTATGGGTAAATGACCTTTCTGAGTTTGTATTCACTGCATACAAATAATCCTCAACAACCTGTTCTAGGGCTAGGAACCTGTCTGCCATTATGCTGAACATTAGCAACCTTGCTGTTTGAAATGTGTCCCTGTGGTTTTGTTTTTTGGAATATTAGGAATAAAAAAAGTCAATTAGAGCCTTTAGATATCTACCAGAGAATTAAAAATTACATTTTTTTAAAGAGTGGGCCCAGTGGCTCATGCCTGTAGTCCCAGCTACTACAGAGGCTGAGGTGGGAGGACTGCTTGAGCCTGGGAGGTCGAGGCTGCAGTGAGCTGTCATCATGACACTGCACTCCAGCCTGGGTGACAGAGCAAGACCCTGCCTCAAGAAAAAAAAAAAAAGTCATCGAAGGTGGGTCACTATATTTCCCCTCTGTTAAGATTTAGCAACTGGAAAGCACTAGAAATAGGCACTTTTTTTTTATATCCCGTTGATATTATCCATCTAATAGCTTGGATCAATACTGTAGCTAAGTCAAAACAGTTTAGTCCCATAATCTCTAGACGCAAAATTCCATCTTTTATGAAAATTTAAAGGCTATCTGGTTATATTTGAAAGTCATTTTCCTATTCAACTTCTGAGTGACATGAAACTAAGTCCCTAAAACACAGCAACAATTCATATAGTACCCTGGGACACTGAAGAGAAGAGTAAGCAAGAGACTCGAAAAGAGGAAGGTGGGGAGTCCCAGGGGGCGGCTGTACCGTCTCTTCTCTGATACCTGCATGGAGGTGAGAAAAACAGGCACCTAGAAAGGTGACAGCAGGAGGAAAGCCAGGGAGCCCTTGTTCTTCAGGAGTTGCTGTGAGGATCATTCCCTTAACACTGATGTCCTGATTCCCACTCCATTATTTTATTAAAATACTGAGTTGAAGGTCATCAGTGAACTTCTGGCCAGACTCAACATACTTTCCTTTATCCTCATCCTTTTATTAGGTTGGTGAAAAAGTAACTGCGATTTTTGCCATTAAAAGCAATTGCAAAAACCGCAGTTACTTTTACACCAACCTAATAGTTCTTAATCATTGGACCCTGCCTTGAACACTCAGTGTTTTTTAATGTACTAACTCTCAACTACCTTACTTGACTTTCTCTCTGTTGTTTTAGTGGAAACCACTCACCAACACATAGCTTTGAATAGTCCAACAGTATTAGCCCCTCTCTCTCTATTCCCACTTAGTAAGCGCACACAAAGTTCCGTCTTATTTAATCGTCGTAGCATGTATGCAGCTTACTGGAGTAATTGGGTTCCCGATCACATATAATCTTGTATGATCTCTTCTGTGTGTGTCTGGGGCTGGGGCAGTATGTGTGTGCATCTGTGAATCTGTGTGACTGTCTCAGTCTCTGTATGTATGAGTCGTATTTGCTCAATCAGATTGTAAGTGCTTAAAAATAGAAAATTTTAGAGGCAACTTGAGCATGTATTTTATGTTCAAATAGTGCTGTTCTTTATAATCAACTTTATAGGTCTCTAAAGCTCTCTGAGCCCAACTTTTCTCATCTTTAAAGTGTGAATAATAATATCCACCCCTAAGATGAAATAAATTCATAAATAAATAAATATATGCATGTAGCATCCAGTATACCCTCAATAAACGATTTTTCCTATGTTTTAACTTTTCTCACATCAGCCATTCTAGTAATACAATGTTGAGTTCAGTTTCAACATTTTAGTTTAGCTGATTGATCGAAGCTAACAAGATCAGGAAAGTTGAGACGTACTGAGCTAATCAACTAGATCTTGCTACCACAGTCTTTCAACATGGTATATTATAAAAACATTTATCTCAGTAAGTCACTTCAATGACTAATCAATATTTTATTTTCCTGAGGAAATGAAAATGCCAGGAAAATAGATGCACAATACTTTTAATGTGGTTATGTGTCTTTTAAATATTAACAGATTTGTTCATAGTGTTATTTGGAAGGATTTATAATATGAAAAATACAGCATCTAATTTCCACTTGAAGAATTCATATGCTATGAGTTATTTTATTTGGGCTTAATTTTTATTTAGTAATTAACAGACTCAGAGATGGTAAAATTTGCTGAGGGAAAGTATATCAACAGAACATACAAATGGGAATCAAGTAATTCATAAAAACAAAACCTGATGTCTTGACATAAAATCTTAAATATTATACTGTAGTTTTTTGTACTAGTAAAACTAGATGTATTTAAACTTAATGCACCGATGATTCCAGCCTTAGTGAAATGAAAATGTTGCTTAACCCCAAAGAATCCAGGCTCCTGATTAGCTCATGCAAAGACAATTATTTGTAATAGCACTTACTGGTAGAGAGAAAGGACTGAAACCTTAGATGGGCACGAAGACGTGACTAAGGCGGGTTTTATTTCTGATCCTGAAGCATTGAAGGGGAAGTCTGCAGTGACTCAGAGCACTGTGATGGCCCAGCTGTCCACGGACATGCCTCTCTAGTGTGGAGTCAGGCATCACCATGCCAGAGGGAGGACTCACCATAGAAGCATCAGCATATTATTGACTCAACTGACACAGTCTTACCGGTAGTGAAAGAGAGGAACATTTTGTTAATCTTCTATTTGAAGTTAATTTTCACTGGTTTCCAAAGCACATGTGAAATGGCACACTGGGTCTAATTAGTGTCTGCCTAGCCAGTATTCTGCCTCTGAAAATGATACTAGGGGCCATTTTCATAAGAAGCTTGGTAATTTCTTTCTAATATATAGATCTAATTATTATTATTATTTTTTCTGAGAGCCATTCATTCACTGGGGAAAGAAGCAGCCTGCTTTATTTGACATATTTATTTTACAGCCATTTCTCCTGTGTTGGAATGCATCAGGCAAATCTGTCCAATCAGTTAACATACTCAGCATAAAATGGATACAGCGAGGGAGAGAAGCACACAACACTTACTAGTATGACCAGTCATAGGTACGCTCCTTATTCCGTTACGGTTGTTATTTTTTGTTGTTTTGGAACTTCTCAAATGAATTAGGCAGCAAATACCACAATCAACAGGCCCCAAACCCGGTCATAGAAATATGTAACTAAACTCCCTGTAAGAAATGATATTTAGTATTTTGGCATATCATTTTTGGCTTAAATGCCAAAATATTGCTGTTCTATGTCATTTTCTTAATAATTTATTCTATTTCTCTTTTAAAATATGACTTGCCTAAGGATACCTATATACAGACGCATTTCATTAATGAATAAAACATATTGGTGTTAGCAAAGATTATAACCCAAAAAGTATATTGTTTTCCTTGGTTTTGGACAGTCCTGATGAAATGCATATGTTTACCTGATAATCCTTCTAGATATGTCTTTTCTGACACCTCCCTCCCAGGATTACATGCTTCCTCTTTCTGCTCCCTTAATAACTGTTTTCACCTGCTTTATATTTACCTGATTTCTTTTCTGTTTCCTCTGCTAGACTCTGAGTTCCTTGTGGCAGGGACCATTCTACTTGTCTTTGTCTCTTCAAAATCTAGCAAAGTGTTTGACACATACCAAGTTCTTAAAAACTGTCCATTGGATGAAGGAACCGTGTTAAGTTATTAATCTGTGATGTTCCAGTGTCATGACTTGTAAGAAAAATGTTTATTTCTAAAACAGTAAAAACAAAATAATTGATTAATCTGATGAGTGGTCATTAAGATACACGCCATGGACTGTTTACTGATTTAGCTCATGGTCTACAAATAGTACAGTGCCATTTTAAAGCCTTAAATGATAGACAACTTTACCTGATGTTATGAATATCATTTATATTAACAATGGGAACCCCATACACTGTCTTCAAATTGTTCTTGATAACTAAATATATCAAATGGAAAGGATACGCTTATATACTTCAATATCTGGATTTTGAAATTTGGAGCACAGAGGTGGAGTATCATTTTATATTGAGAATGGAAAGTCAGGAGACTTGCGACACGTGATGCAATTGCTTCCATGGAATATTTTCAGACCAATAGGAGTTTGCGAAGAACTTTTACGGACTGTATAAATATTTTGAGCTGTAGGCATCATTACCAGCTGATATTTTCTTTCCTCAGGACCAGCTGTTCAGGAGCATCCCGGACGAGAGCCAGGCACATTTGAGACTTGGATCCAACTAAAGACAGCCACAGATTCTTCTGCAGCAATGTCGGTGTTGGAAGAAAATCGGCCATTTGCTCAACAATTATCCAATGTCTACTTTACAATACTTTCGCTGTTCTGTTTTAAGCTTTTTGTGAAAATCAGCCTTGCCATCCTCAGTCATTTCTACATTGTGAAAGGCAACCGCAAGGAAGCGGCAAGGATAGCAGCTGAATTTTATGGAGTAACCCAAGGACAAGGTATGTTTGTGATAATCCTCTCTTGTTTCAAGTGGAGTTTAACTTTCATTTGATCCATAATTACGTGTTTTCCTTTTAGACCGCTTCAAGGTAAATATGTTACAAACTTTTGTTAAGGGAAATACTTATAACTCACTTCATGGCTTTATAAAGAGGAAAATTACTTTTTTTATGTCAATGTTTGGGTTAAAATCAAGGTATCATTGCAAAAGAGATTAAGGGAGGCATACGATATATATAATAGGAATATATATATATATGTTCCTATTAAGAAACATTTTAAAACGTTAAACATTTTATTTGCCAAGTCATAGTATTAGAGATTAGTTTTAGAAGTAATTGACTGCACTTCAGTCATCCTTTAATGTGTACCTGGATTGTAGAATTTTAAATCAAATCTTTAGTTATACGTAAAATAATTGTTATTAAAAAGAGGGGATTTCAAGATTTGGTTTCTCACAACTTTAATAAGATAACCATTTGACTCTAAAATAAGCACACACAAAAAGAAGATTGATGGCATGTATTTTTCTGATGGAGTTATTATTGCTCAGCTCAGTTTGTAAAAAATTGATTATAAAAGGATAGAAACATAATTAATAAATTTTATATGTGTGCAGCCAAGTGCATCCATGTTCTTTAGAAGAAATTGTGGTATGAAACCAAATGAGAAACAATATTACCCGTAGACTTCAAAAGGTTGTAAAACCATTTAGGTTCTATTGGATCGATACTCTAAAAAGTAAAAATGATTCATATGGCAGGCTTTAAAGTGCCATTTTTTAATTCTCATAGTCTTCAGATTCATTTCTGATTTGAAAATCAATAGGCATATATGAATATTTATAGCCCAAATACCTCCAAAACAACTTAAATTGTCAGAATTGAAATTTACTGTCACACAATTTAAACATGTAAACTTGAAATAAAAATCACTTGAGTAGAAAGCTTGCCTTCTTAAAATCCATGTTCCTACATTTTTCAATGTGGGATGCGACTCATTTTAAAATCTAGGTTACTCTGTTGGTACATGGAAAGTTGAGTGAAGGTGGAAAATCTTTTTTAGTGTATGAGGTAGATAATGAATACATTTTTACTGAGGAAGATTGCAATTTTGCAACTTGAGGAATTGATGTTCTCATTCAAAATGAGGAAAATTTAAATGTTCATAAGAATCTCTTATAGGGAAGATAAAATCTCAAGTAAATAGGCAGTATTTAACCCTTTACCTACCACCTCTGCCTTAGAACAATATAGATTTTATGTATGTATTTATTTTCCTGGAGACTGGGGCTCACATTGTTGCCCGGGCTGGAGTGTAGTGGCTCAATTCTCACTGCATCGTTGAACTCCTAGGCTCAAGGGATCATCTGGCCTTTGCCTCCTAAGTGCTAGGACACACAACCGTGCCTGGCTAATTTTATTCTTTGTAGAGACAGAGTCTCAACATTGTCCACCTCAAGTGTGGTCTCAAACTCCTGGGCTCAAGCGATCCTCCTGCCTCAGCCTCAGAAAACTCTGGAATTACAGGTGTGAGCCTCCGTGCCAGGCCTGAACTGTATTGAAATGTGACATATACACTATGTGATTCATCTGTACTAAAAAATTTAGTTGGCAAATGGAATATTTGTGTACAAAACAGCAAACATAGAAAATTAAATTTTAAAACAAAAGCCATATTTGCAGATATATGAGTAAACAGTGTACATGATCGTAAGGTGGTAAAATTTACCCTCACGGGCTGCCTGTAGCATATTACTTCATAATCAGATCTTGTCTATGTGTTATAAGAATTGCTTTACATTGACACATGAAATATTGCCTAAACAGAAGCAACTTTTTTGTGGGTTGAAAAGGGTTTTAGAGGGGGCCATGGAAGCTCCTTTTGGTACATGTTTTCAAATAAAAAGAAACACTCATCCCCTCATTAGACAGATCTTAGTGTACTTACACTGGGAAATCATGGGAATATATGCAATGGTTTCCACGTTCCCATATACTTTTAGGATTCTATTTTAAAATAAATTAGAACTCTAGGATTTTTTGTCTCAAGAAGGAAAGAAGAAAGGAAATCGATATCAATTAATGGGAGACACTTTTCCTGGAAATATAAAATGGAAGCAAAGTTTTTAAAATTTTGTTTTGTGTTATTTTTAATATTAGATCTATTTAACAAAAATTTCCCCTCTAATATCATGCATTAATCTGTATATGAAACAATACAGTATGGTATTATAATTTTTATTCAATGTAAGCATAATTTGTTTCCAATTTTATTTTAACATTAAGAGAACAAATCAGGTACCTTATAAAACTCTTTCTTATCTTCTACTTCTAAGCATTCATTCTTGCTTGCCCAGGAAAATTATTACTTTCTCCATTTTAACATAGTTTTTTCTTTTATTTACTATAAGTAAATTATTTTTAAATTCTGTTTGTGTCTTTATAAGTCACTAATTAGGCTTAATTATCTGTGTTTAATCCAGCAATTTCCTCCTTCCCGGGAGAGATTATCACCTTCATTCCCCTTTGAATTGGGTTTCTCATTCCTACTTTCAAGGCTTAGCCAGACTGCTCCCCAACATTTCTGATGTGGAGTTGCCAAATTCCATGAAATAAGAGATGGTGTGTATATTTTCATGTCTTTCATAATCACAGAAGACCCTGTTGACAACATTCTGGATGCCCTCCCCATGAGCAGTAGTACTTTGGTGTGAAATAAAAGGAACTGTTAACCTTCTTAGATATTATTCCCAATCAGCTGATTGTATTAGACAAATATCTGGTTTTTTTTTTTTGTTTTTTTGTTTTTTTAAAGCTCTTTCCTATCAGGCTTGAGACCAAGGTATGATTACCCCTGAGAATGCTGAAAAGCTAAATGGTATCTAAAATAGCTTAAGATATTTCCTTCTTGATCCTTGTGCTATTTCATTAAACTTTACAAATCTATCTTTTCATCTCTAAAGACTTTTATCATCCTCATCATCATATTGCAGGGGTCTATTCTTTGCTTTGCTTTTTTGTATAACTACCTCCCGTATCATCCTTGCTGCTAAGTGTTCTGATTACAGTCTTTATATGTCAGAGGCCTAGTCTATTCTTGAAGCTAAGTCTAGACTTTGAAACTGACAGGGAGACTACCAGGCTTTGAAGGCTATATTTTAATATTAAACAGTGTACAGAGAGAATGAGGATGTGGAGAAATGTATTAATTTGGTGAAATCATACCAAAGGCCTAGAAGAAGCCATTAACTACTTGACTCCCAAAGATACTTCAAGAGGCAGCTCTTCTCTTCTGTTAAGGGCAATACTTTTCAAGTTCTGTGTTAGACTCTGAAGAAGTTTAGCAGTTTTTGCTACAAATGGACAGGACAAGTTCTAAGCATTGATTTTTTTGAGCGCCCTTGATATCAAGACACTGAGGATACAGTATACATAAAAGGCAAAATGTATTGTTCTCATCCTTAAGTTTATATTCTAATTGAGGAGATAGGATATCTACAGATAATAGTCACTTTCCAGAATACTCACTGCCAAATGACTCTAAAGAATGAATGGGTCATTTTCCAATTGTACTTTCAGAGATATCTTCAAAGAGGAGGCAGATCTTGAGGTGACTCCGGGAATGAGCGAGGCGTGGATTTATGGGTGCACATGGACTGTTGGGAGTCAGTAGATTTGGCTGGAGTGGAGAGTTCATGCAGTAGAAAAGTAATAATAAGTTGGGCCCAGATGTAAAGGAAGTTGAATGCCACGCTGAACAATTCAGACTTAACTTTGAAGGCAGTAGGCGTCATTGAAAGTTTTTGGTATGAAAGAAGGTGGGAAAATAAAAAAGGGTATGTATTAAGCCATAATTTAAAGTAGATTTCTATAGTAATATTCTTTGGAGTTGGATGAGACAGATTTGAAATAAGTTGACCAGTTAGGACCTTGCCATGAGGAGATGAGGACCTAGACTAGTTTGGTAATGGTGGTATGGACAGAAAACAAAGAATGACAACAAAAAATAAACAAAGAAAAAGAAAAGAAGAAAGAAAAAAATGTGATGATACCTGTAAATAGCATTCAAATAGCCTTTAAATTGGCAGAAAGAGCAAATGTTACCTTAGAGTAACATTTTAACATATTATTTTTTTCATTTTAACATAGCTTTTTCTCCCAGAGTTAGATACTAACATGTCAATCAGAAGATTGATTAGCCACACAGGTCAAGTCTGCAGCCTCCAGCCAAGGCCACCCCTTGAAAGTGGACCCTTAGAGCTTGCTGAGTCTGGTAGGTTACATACCTATCCCTACTGGGAAATATCAAGGTAAATCAGGAAGTAATAGAATTATAATCTGATTTCTAGTCTTGCATTTGATTTATTTAATGTATTCTTTTCGTTCCAAATTATATTTTTAAGCACCAAGCCTTCTGATGATGATTTGGCTCCAATCTCAATCTGCCCACAGAAAGAAAATGTGCCAACTTGCCCTCAGGACTGTTTTAGTCCATCTGGCATTTGTAGGTCTTGTTGCAAATTAATACATTTGCATCTTGATATCAATCAACAGTATTTTGTGTTTGTGGAGTTGTAAGTCCATTTCTGAGACATACATTTGCTCCAGACTTGCTGACAGATTTCTGAGCCTGCAAGGTCATGGACCAAATTTTGGATTGTGGAAAATTCCTCAAGATAACGTGTCTCTGTGAGGCTGCTTGGGAAACAATCTGGTGACACCCAAGTTCTTCAGGCGCTCCTTTCACGGTTGAGATTTTATGTAGAATACACAACACATCTAAAATCATCGTATGGAATATTTATGCTTGTGATTTCATAAGTTTTATTTTAGGGTTGCCAGTAATCATGAATTTTTTTTTTGTCGAGTCTGTGGTAGACACTTGGAAATAGGACATAGTATAAATGTGTGACCTTAAGCTGAATGGCAGGTGAACTTGGCATTTTGGAGAATAGCATAACCTGGATAGGAAAAGCAGCTAGAATTTGATGTAGTATCTTTTTTTCTCCATAAATAAACTCCATCCTAGGTTTAAAACCAACTTTAGGAATTTAGCTTTACAGCCAGTGCTAGCAATAGAAGCAGTAGTATTCTTTATACCTGTTTCTGAGGAGCAACTGATTTCACGTGACTTTTGGTGCTGCTGGTTAGCTGTGCACGAGATTAGTTATCTTAGGGACATTCTGAGAATTACAGCAAAGAATCTGTAGTGAATCTGTAGGATGACTTATTAATAATATCTTTATTATATAAAGGTAAATATTATCAATATGTGGAAGTTTTTGGACACATTTTCTATACGTAGGTGGAACAATTCCAGAGAATAATAACTGGAATTGATAGAACTGTTCTTGTATGACAAAATACATGGCATTATACTCAAAAGTGCTACTACTTTTTTTTTTCAAAGAGGTTCTAATTTTGTCCAAGCGCTACTTTTTCAGAAATGCCTGAACACTTTTGTGGAAGAAACCACTGTAATCCTGCAAATTAAAAATGAAATCTGGGAACAAAGTTCCAAGTTTAGAAAAGACTTTGTCAAATTTTAACGTATTAATGCTTTTCCTCTCCTTCTGTTCCTTATTCATTTTGTGTTGCTATAAAGGAATAGCTGAGGCTGGGGAAAGAAAACAGGTTTATTTAGCTAATGATTCTGGTGGCTGCTGAGGTCCTCAGGCTGTTTCCACTCATGACTAAAGGGAAGGGGAGCCAACATGTGCAGAAATCACACGGTAAGAGAGGACTGAAGAGAGAGAGTGGGGGCAGGTGTGTGTGCTTTTCAACAACCAGAACTCTCAGAAACTAATAGAGTGAGAACTCACTCAGCACCAAGGGAGGGAGGGCAAGCATTAATGTATCCACGGGGGATCCGTCCCCATAACCCAAACATCTTCCATTAGACTATACACCTCCAACACTGAGGATCAAATTTCCACATGAGGTTTGGAGGGGACAAATATCCAAACCATAGCACTTAATAACTTTATATTTGGAGAAATGCATACATTTTTTAAATAAAAATTTGACATTGGTGGTGATAGTTTAGGAGGGATCAGTTTTCCTAGGAATATTCTTATATCTTTTGTTCATCTCTTCCTTCCTTTAATCATTCAATTACTTGCACATTTATTACTTACAACATAATGTACTTGCCCAACACTTATTTATGTATCTACCAGGTCAAAAGGCATTGTGCTAGACACTAAGGATAAACTACAGAAACTAACCACTGTCTTTCCCAACAGTGTACACAGTCTAGTGGAAGAAAGATGGATAAGCAAGTAATTTTAAAACATGGAAAATGCTATTTTACAAGATTAAAGAAGGTGCTATGGGAAGGTGCTATACAGAGAAATGTATGTAGAGCTAAGAATAGTTCTGCCTAGGATATGCCAGTTACACAGAAGCTGTACTAACAATATACACATTCTCTCACACAACTAAGCATGCATCCTTATTCTCAATGCTCAAAAGCTTCCCAGTTCCCCACTTTCACTTCCTACCAACTTTTTCACTTCTCAGTTTGCTATTTCGGACTAATGTATCTCTTACCTAAAGCTTTATCTTAGACTCAGAGTTTTGTTGTTAAAAGAATTTACTTTTCGGAAGGACACAAGTATGCTTTATGAAAAATGAAAAATATTTTGATGAAAAAATTTCAAAATGGATTTTGTGTACTTTGACAGGGGACGTTGATATTGTCAACGTTTTAAAACTTTTTACATAGTCAAGATAGTAAAGGAATGAAAACTAGGTCTTAACTTTCTGCTTCTCAATTTACTATCTCTTTTAGAAGACAGTGAATTATTAAAATAAGCTATTTTTCTTATTCATTGCCATAACTGCTATAGCTTTGAATGTAGCTTAGTTTATAAATACTGGGATATCTACTCTCTTCCTAGCACAATATTGTGTACTACATGCACACATACCAATATATCTATAATATATATAGTATTTAATACCTATAATATATAACACATAACTAATAGATAATAAATATAATGCATACTATATCCTGTATATAATTTCTATATTATATATGTGCATATGTTTACCATGTGTGATATATGAGTAAAAGCGGAAGACTTGGATGAGTGGAACCAAATACTGCAGAAGTAAGACAACCAAAACAGCAAGCAGGTAGAAAACCATATGGTGCTAAAAAGAAAACAGTCAAGTTTTGCAATGGATGTTCTCCTCCAAGTCAGAAAGGGAAGAGATTGAGGTCATCTGAGACTGTAAGGCACTTCATAAATAAAGCAGAGCTTAAGGCAGAAATCCAAAGGCAGAACATATTTGGTTATGTAGATGTTGGGATGAAACCATGCTAAATATAAAGAAAAAAAGAGGAAAAGTTTAGAATGTGGAGCCAAACAAGCCTGTTTCATCTGGAGCAAAGGTGGAAGAATAAATGTGAGGGATGAAGAAACATAAGTTGAGTGGTTGATGCTAATGGGAAAAATAAACACACATCTCGAATCATACATCTAAAAGTCAGAAGTTCTTTTAGGAATTTTCTGATGCCTTTACAGGATTCAGCATATGAAAAAGGGTTGCTAGCTAATGATGGCAATAATTATCACCATAAATTATTTTACAAGATACTTGGTATAATGGTTTAGTATGTCATTATGTGTGTTTCATGAAGTACATCTCAGAGAAGATGGAGTACCTCCGCAACACTGACTCAGCACTGCACATCCTCAGAGTGGCTCCATGGTAATTCTGTGGATTTGGGCAACAATTTTAGCAATTAAGCCCATTTTCTAAACTGCAGAGGAGAGAAAAACAATTATCCCCTGTGACAGATAAACCATGTCATTGAAAGCAGATGAAGTATTTGGAATACCTCTTCCTCCAAAGTCACCCTCAAATAATTTTTAAAAAATCAAAAGAAAGCAAGCATTTGCTTACGAGTGATGTAGAACTTTTCTCATTTCTGGCCGGCGCAGTGGCTCACGCCTGTAATCCCAGCACTTTGGGAGGCTGAGGTGGGTGGATCGTGAGGTCAGGAGATCGAGACCATCCTGGCCAACAAGGTGAAACCCCGTCTCTACTAAAAATACAAGAATTAGCTGGGCGTTGCGGCACGTGCCTGTAATCCCAGCTACTCCGGAGACTGAGGAAGGAGAATTGCTTGAACCTGGGAGGCGGAGGTTCCAGTAAGCCAAGGTTGCACCACTGAACTGTAGCCTGGCAACAGAGCTAGACTCCATCTCAAAAACAAACAAACAAACAAACAACAACAACAAAAACAACAACAACAAAGCAAAGTATTATCAGCTGCATAGGGAATAAGTCATTTATTCTTTCCAGCCATCCCTCAGCAATGCTACAAAGCAGACCTTTGCCTTTTTAGACTGGAATTGCCCAAAGAATATCATGGCAGGGAGGGAGAGGCTTAAGGAGTTTCATAAATTGTTAAATTAATACTGAAAGAATCTTCCAAGTGGTCTGTGATTAAACAAGTCCACTCTGTGAAATTTAGGTTAAAGATGAACATATATCAGATGATTTTTTTTCTCAATCCTCATCCTACAATTCCTCATTGGTTACTATGGAAAAGGATTTTAAAAATCTGCCTTATATATTTAAGATAGATTAATATCCCATATTTAAGGTAGATTTAACATTTTTCTAGAAGGCCCTCGGGGGCTGAGAAGCTAGGGTGGTGTGAGGGGACAAGGTCTCCATGGGTCCCCTTCCCCCTTTTGAACAGTACAACTTGGCTTTCATAAATCTTCATAAGTTGGGCTTTAAAACAGTAATAATCTTTTCTGCAAAGAAAGGGATAAAATAATTTTTAAAACTAGACTGTCTCAGTTTATGGAAAATATTATTTGTTACACATATCTTTACAGAAGCTAACCATCTGATAATATGAGTCATAACTGAGTCTCCTTTCCAAATTCTTTCCTAGGGATTAGATGAGCAGCAAACATTTGGGGCCTGTCAGGCATGTACATAACTATGTGAAACGGCAGGAAGGCATCCTCTCTCTATCAGGGCAGCTAAAATTTCCATGCACCAGTACCCACTGAGTAAAATAGAAACCTTCAGAAATACATATACTCTTTCCAGAAGGCTTATAGTCTTAAACTATGGGTAGAGTACAAACAAACTGAAATTTAACACCAAAATGCCATTCGTGTTTTTAAATAGAAGCACTGGCTCACCTCAACTGTCAAGTGTGCAGCGTGATTTAAGTGAAAGCTGACAATGATAAAATTTAAGCTAAGGCCCATCCGTTGGAAATCTGCTCTTCACCGTCATAACACCGCAAAGTTCCTTGTTAGTGAATTGAATCAGGTGAGGCTGCCAAAGTGAGAAAGGAAGCAATCCTTCTTCTAAAGCAATCTCAAGAGTTCTTCTAAAGCAGACTCAACGCACTACAAGAACTGTTAAATAATGACATTGGAAAGAGCGGCGACTTTGGTAGTGACTCAACCCCTCAGTAGCAACCAAATACATCTTTGTTTAGCCACTGAGGAGATTTTTGTGCACTTATGTTTTCCAAATTCTACTTCATTCACTAGAGAAATGGTGTTTCCATCATTCATCAAGTAAAAGTAATAGTTCATTTTTAGAATGAAATGATGCACCTAATGAATTCTTGAATTTGGAAGTTTTGTGTCTCACTTCCATCTTGACCTGTCAACTAGAATCATGCATTTGGAAAAGGAAAAAGTGCTAATTCTTTAGAGCTCAAATAGACAGGTCGCAGATCTGTTGTATCCAGGAAAGAATAAATACTTCATTGTAACTCCAAGAACTAAAAGAAAAGGAGTAAAATGAAAACTTAAGCATCTCTCTCCTTCTGTCTCTCCCACCCACCACAGTAATGATGAAAATGCTCAAGTAGAATCTAGTATAGGAGCTAAGTTTTCTGGCTACTTACCATTACTCAAATAAACCAACAAAACAAGACTGGCTCTGGCTGGAGAAAAAAAAAAAAAAAACCTTTACTGAACATTAAGTCCCAAAGTAATAGTTGCCTATCTAATTGGTGTGACATTCCAAGCATGTGAAAAGAAATCTGTTTAAGTAAGCTTAGTATTTGGAGTCTACTGAAACGGATGATAATATTTTTTTGAAAAAGCATTTTTATTTGTATTTATGAAACTTCATTGAATTCAGTGATTGAGATTTTGTAGGTTTAAAGCTCCATTTTAGAAAGCATATACAAAATGACTACAAACCTGGTTCTATAGCATTATAATGAATATTCTATTACTTTTGAAAGACAATGTTTTTAAGTAGAAGAAAAAAAGCTATGTACTTTATAATTAACCTAAGGCTTGTGAGACAAACCTGTGATTTTTGCCAAGTACTTGACTAGAGACTGAATTTTAATGGGCTACAAGAAAGGTAGATCAGTCAAAACTGCTTTTATTATGGAGAAGAACATTTCAAATTACTAGACGAAAGTCATTTGGTCCTTGAAATAACTCTCAATGGCATGCAGGAAAAACACTGTCTTGGATATTGAAGAAAGTCAGCAAATGGTTGTAGAATGAATAAAAGACCTTAAAAAAAGAGAAAATGGAGGTTAAAAATCCGTTGCATACTGCACAATGTTTGACCCAGACATAAATTGTTCTGTCGTGTTTGTAGCATTTTTCTAGCTGTGTGATCTCAAGAAAGTCGCTTAACATCTATAGATCTCAGTTTAATGGAGGTATTGATACTACTTGAGGGGATTAGCAGAAATCTTATATGAGATATAATTTATTATCTTAATCACTTACCACAGTGTCTGGTGTACAGTCAACACTCTATCGATGTTAGCTTTGTATATCATACTTTTTTAAAAAATTCAAAAACAGGCTAGAATTGCCCACAGTTTAGTAACACAGGAAAGCATCAATAGGAAAATACAGTAACATTCTAATAAATTAACTGTGTTTGCCAAACGGTTGCTATAAGCACATACTATAGTACCATGACCTTTCTACTAAGCAGGTGTTCTACCCCAGAATCATATTAGCTCTTTAGATCGTTTCAGAGGTCAGCTTTATTTGTCTGCCAATATCACAATTCACTGAAGCTCTGAAGAGCTTAGTAAGTTGTCATTTTTTTCGGGTAGTAACTTGAATAAGCAGAATTCCAACCCAGATTCCTCTTCCACTCTATGGTCTTTCTCACTGAATAATCACAGGGTCAGTGGCAAAATCAAAGCCTTGTGTGTGTGAGGTCTCTGTGCCATCCATGCGCCTTGTCAACTGGCCCTTTCCATACAAAAGGAAAGATATTGCAGAACTATAACTATTTTAAAAGATAAAAATACAAAGCTTGCCCAAAATAAGCCATTTATTTTATGCCTTTAAGACTCAAGGTATGTTTTTTGCAGATGCTCCCTCTGATACAAAGGAAAGTAAGACATTCTGAGCCGTTCCATAGGATTGGAGCAAAGTAATGCAGAGTTTGGCTAGTGTGACCAGGAGCCAGGCAGAATGTTAAGGTTGGGGAGGCTCGCTCAGAGTTGGGAGTTTTAAAATTACTTGCAGAAATTTCTCCTACAGTCTTATTCTGTCCAAGAAACTTTTCTTGACAGAAATTCTTCAAACAGAAATGTTTTCCTGGGCGCATTTGGTCAACTACCTAGTCATGGCTGTCCTGTGGGAAAGCCTGGGTTGCTCTGAAAGAATTCTGTGATGAGTTACATAACAGCATGTAGCAATGGCAAGTCTTGGCAAATTCTTGGCTCTCCCTTATAGTCAGTGCCATAGAGTCAAAGCTGCTTCATTAACCTCCAGCACACAACAAAGCACCAGATAGTAACGTCCTCTGCCAAACCACCCTTCTTAAAAGCCTCTTGTCCTTTTCTTTTCTTTTCTCATAATCCCTGGCAGCTGAAAGGGAAAGACAAAATCTAATGACAACATTCACAACAAAGAACTGAGTCAGCTAGTTCAGGGATTTTCCTGTCTTCCTTTATTTTCTCTGCTTCTTTCTGCCAGCTGGTCTCTTCAGGAAGTAACCAAAACATAGTTTTTCTTTTCTCTTTTTTCTTTTTCTTTTTTTCTTGGAGTGCAGTGGTGCCATCGTGGCTCACTGCAACCTCTGCCTCAGCCTCAAGCAGTCCTCCCACCTCAGCGCCCCATGTAGCTGGGACTACAAGTGCAAGCAACCATGCCCAGCTAATTTTTGTAGTTTTTGTAGAAACGGGTTTCACTATGTTGCCCAGGCTGGTCTCAGACTCCCGAGGTCAAGCCTATCAACTGCTTTGGCCTCCCAAGTGCTAGGATTACAGGCATGAGCCACCACGCCTGGCAAAACATAGTTTTCCGTGTCATATCTTACAGAAAGTATTTTTCCTTATGAGAAAAAAGAAAAACAAACCATTTAAAAATAAGCAGAGTATATTTGGAAATAAAGATGTGGAATTATCTCATAGAGTCATTGAAAGACCTCAAACTTGAACTCGTATTTTCAATTATCTGGAGCCTTATGCACAGGTTTACAAAGTATCCATCCTAGAACTGAGGCTTCCAGGAACACTTGTCCCTTTACCAGGCCATTGCAAAGTCTGTCTGAAGGTGGCTAAGCCTCCAGTGAGAAAATAATAAAATGCAAATAATGATTTTTGCATTCTCTCCTCACTATGAGACCATTACACCATAAATGTTAACAATCGGGAACAAAATTATAATCAAAACAGTAGGAAAATTAATGCTCTTAGCTGCAAGATCTGAGACGCTAGCTTTCTCCTATGTGATGTATGGGCAGGTGTGAATCTCAGCCTCAAGTCAGAAATGAGGTTTTACTACTCAACACTTGGCAGGAATATGATGAAGGACAAAGAACTCTCTCAAAATGGAATATCTTATGGTGAACTGCAAACTTGAGAGTAATGTTTTTGAGTAACACAGCCATATACGGCAGCCCCTAGAATGTTTAGGACATAGCTCAGTCTTGCTAGTCTCTAATAGACTCTTAAGGAATAATGTTAATAATACAATAATGACCTTTTGTTCTCTGAGATTATAGAAATCCAGTTCTGCTTG